GTGCTGTAGGGCTCAGGACCTGGTGAGAGCCATGCAGCCGTAGAGCATATTGCCCTAGGCGGTACAGGCCCCTCTGCCAGGACCCCGGACACAACCATCCCTGTCTGCAGCCCAAGAGCACTGCTGAGGACTTGCACTCTCCTCCTGCAAGGCTCCGAGGGCTGGTTCTGCGAACCGTGGCACTGTCTTAGCTGGCCCTACTTGACAATGACACTCTCCTTTGTCTGCCATGGTGGGGCTCCCATACCTGTTGCCCATCACAGAAGTTTTAAAAATATGTCCATTTTATCAGATATTAGAATATTGATGCCTGCATGTTTCCTAGTTCTACTTAATGAAATATTTGCTTTGTTGTGTTGAGACAGGGTCTCACTATAATCCTGGCTGTCCTGGAACTTGGTATATACACCAGGCTGGCCTTGAATGCATAGTGATCTGTCTCCTGAGTACTGGCATTAAAGGAGTGTGCCAAACATCCAGCTTTGAAATATTTTTTTCTGTCAGTGGTAGGCTCCTGTCCTGTTCCCTGTCTTCTCCTGTTTCCAATGTCTATTGCGTTAGTGCAGGGAATCTTAAGAAAGAAAGGGGAGATAGAAAGAACTAGAGGGGACAGGAGCTCCAAAAGGAGACCAACAGACCATAAAAACTGAGCCCTGAGGGCCCTGAAGAGAATGATACCCCAACCAAGGACAATGCATGGAGAGGACCTAGAACCCTGACTCAGATGTAGCCCATAGACTCAGTCTCCAAGTGGGTTCCCTAGTAATGGGAAAGGGACTGTCTCTGACATGAACTCAGTGGCTAGCTCTTTGATCACCTCCCCCTGAGGGGGGAGCAGCCTTACCAGGCCACAGAGGAAGACAATGCAGCCAGTCCTGATGAGACCTGATATGCTAGGGTCAGAGGGAAGGGGACTAGAGGAGGGGCATAGGAGGAGATGAGGGAGGGGGCCACAGCCGGTATACAAATTGAATAAATTGTAATAAATGATAGTAATAAAAATAATGAATAAATATTTTTTCCCATCCTTTCACCCTAAGATAGTGGTTGTAATGGCTATTCTTAGCTGTGAATGTGAACTTGTGTATTTCTGGAATTAACTAAAACCCAAGCTGCTGGGTATATAGGACTCACTCTAAGTCTGAATCTTTGGAGTTGGGAATACTCACCGTAAATCCAGGCCATACATTCTGGTGACAGCCTGTATGAAGGACGTGTAAAATGGAAGCTCTTGCTCTTTGCCTGCTTGCCCTCGCTCTCACCGTCATGTGCATTCCTTCACGAGGGTCAGAGCCTACTTCTTTGGGATTTCAACATATATGGAAGACCAGCAAGGACATCTAGCCTTGTGGACGGAACAATTATTTGATTCTCGGACTTCCCACGACAAGACAGCCATTGTTGGACTCGACCACAGTCTGTAAGAAGCTCTCCTGGACTCGACCACAGTCTGTAAGAATCTCTCCATCGGGGAAGCGGCATGAAGATGTCCATCCACCTTCACAAAATGCTGCATTGCCTGGGCTGGCCTCAAACTCCTGAGTCTCCCACTCAGCGTCCCAGGCTGGCTTCCCTGGTGTTGTTTAATCTCTTCTAGCTGTGTAGTTTGGTTGCTTGGAAATGTTAGATTGCATCAATTCACCAATCAATTAGAAAGCTTCTGGGGGAAAACAGGAAGCCAAGCCCCAGCGGTCGAGTTCATTCTACCTCTTCTCAACATTTGTCTTATCGACAGCAAGCGCCATGCATGTAAGAGTTGTCTTCAAACCAAATGTCAGTTAATTATACAGTCACAAAACCTCAGTATTTTCCATTTACACATTGCAAGTCAGTGAAGCAGACAGTGCTTTTGATAACACAATAAGAACAAGGCATTGTAGTGAAATTATAGTTCTCTGAGGCTAATTTGGGGGTACAATTTTACAATCGTGTTTCCAGTCCTCTGAACCTGTGTTTGAATGACTTGAGCTGTTACAGCACTGACCCCACATGAGGTCTGTGTCCCTGGCTGGTGTTTTCTCCGCAGCAGCCCCCTTTTGAACTTTAGGTTCCAACTGAGGCCTCAATTGCTGTTCGATGCCCTCTGGGCACTTGAACCTTTGTTAGTACTTTACTCTAAGTTTTTTGGTGGGCTGCTCTATAAAAAGCACCTGTCATTAGTTCCCTTTGGTGTGGGACTCCCCCTTTCAGTTTATTGCATTCATTCTATTCGCAATCCCTCAGCACAAAAGAGCTCAGTGGATCCAGTTCTCTCCAATCTGACTAAATGGCACACCTACAGAAGCAAAGTCTTACACCCCCGAGGGCTTCTGGGCATTGCCAAGAAGACAGCCACTGTGTGCCCAGCACCTCAGAAAGCTCCTATCCCAGTTATTTTCATTATCTCAGCAGTGCCAGGAACGAAGGTTCAAACATGAAACCCATTTTCAGCAGAGCAGGGAAGTGCATGCTAGCTAACTTGCGTGCCAGTGTTTGGGCAGCTCTGCTTTTTCGAGAGCACAGAGGTAATGACTTCATTGCAAATTAACGTCCAGGGAACAGTCCATTGCAAATAGCTGCCAGAGAATTCTGGGGGCTTTACCCCTCATGCTGGCATGTGTCCTCAGTCAGCCCATTTGGCACAGATCACCATGCCCATTAGATAGGAAGGTTGTTTCCTGGAAGAAAAAGGGCAAATTCCTCTCAGCATTCCTTGTGGTGTGAGGAATGGCTTCTCCAAAGGAAGGAATTGCAATCATCTGACCAGCTCCCTTCACCCAGGGTCTCAGTTTCCTGACATTCTGCAAGCTTTTCAATGACACATTCTGTGGGCATGTGAGCTGGGGAAGCTGGGTGCTGCCTGAAGCATGCTGAAAACACCACACTGTGGAGACTCCCGCCCAAAGGTCCAGTGCTCTTCACTGCCAGCTGACATGTATGTGCGCACACCTGTGCAGCATTTCACTTTAATTATTGGTTTTTGGGGACAGGGTCTTACTATGTGACCTAGGCTGGCCTGGGTTTGGTCTGCTTTGGCCTGCTCAGTCCAGAGAGTACAGGTCTATATCATCAGGCCTGGCTTGGGCCCTTCTTAGCAAAGCCTAGGGCAAGCACGGGGCTTGATTGCCTTTGATCAGTGTAGCTAAATATACAACAAATATCAACAGAAACCTACGAAGGAAGGAATGAAGGAAGGAAGGAAGGAAAGAAGGAGGGAGGGAGGGAGGGAGGGAGGAAGGAAGGAAGGAAGGAAGGAAGGAAGGAAGGAAGGAAGGAAGGAAAGGAGGGAGGAAGGGAGGGAGGGAGGAAGGGATATAATGTGATGGGCTCCCAACAGGTCAAATCATGTGTCTACTTGTAGTCTAACCTGTGAGTCCTGTTTCTTCTTTCTGCATAATAGTGTTAAAGGTCACCCCTGATTACTCCTGAGCCAGAACCCCAAATTTCAGATACTCCACAACAGTGTTTTATTCAAACAAAATACTTGAAAGGCCTTAAAAAAATGGTTTAAAATTAATTCCTCAGCTGTGGCTGTGTTGTTCAATCGGTGGTGCGCCTTCCCAAGGCTTGGGAAATTCCAAAGTCCCCAAATTCTTTCAGCTTTCTTTGGCATGTGCAGCTTGTAGGATTTAATATAGCTTTAATAGTTTTATTAAAAAAAACTATTCAAAAGCTACAAGACATTCGTTGTAACTCTGTCTTACTTTAAAAAATCACCAAGATTGCCTTTTTTTTAGAGGCCGATGTTCATGGCTCCCAAGAACATAAAACTCTGGGCTGTAATTGGCAGCAGGTGGGGCCATTGCCTCCTGTACAATTCCATTTCCCTCTTCAAATATGGTGCTACTAATTTGATTTGTAAGACTGAGCATTCACAGAAAGTTTCTATCCTCCCTTCTAGAAAGTTCTTTCCACTCTTGATGTTAAGCTTCTCTCAGATGAAAGGTCTACTGAACACCTACTCTCTGCCAGGAGCTTCACACACACCATCTCACTTGACCTTTGAGATGGGAGACAGCTGTGGATCTCTGCTTCACAAATGAGAAAAACAAGGTCCTAAAAGTTAAGAAATTTGGTCAAGATTCCACCACTGGCTGGTTAGGTTGGCTCCAAAGCTGGGAGACACGCAGTGGCCTCCCAGACTAGAGGTCACATGCTTCCGTCCAAGGATAGGAGGGCCCTTCTTAGAGAGGGCAGCTGGGAAGGAAGTGTTTTAAGGTAAGATAAATAAGATCATCTCCTTCTCCTTCTCTTTCTCCTCCTCCTCCTCCTTTTTATTAAAAACAAAGCCCATATATATGGAAGCCAAGGGTGACATTGCACACTGGTCCTTGTATTCACGAAGCTAGGGCAGGACGGTTACCCTAAGTTTGGGCTACCAAAGTCATACTCTTGTCTCAAAAAACCAAACCCAAACAAACAGACCAAACTCCATAAGGAAAATAAATACAAACTTCAACGCAGCATTCCTGGGTATGTGATCTAACCATGAGTCACATACTGGCCTGATCAATCCTTCAGCTAGTTGCTCATTTCAGCATGGCACATCACATTAATTCTGCCTCATGTCACAAACTCCTCCTCACCAGGCCCTGCACTGACCGGATCAAGGTTCAGATCATCTCCACAGTGCTTTTCACCCCTGCAAGGTGAGATGTCTTGCCATCACCCAGGGCTTCATTTCTAGCCCTGTTCCAGGACAGGAGGCTCCAGCGTAGCTTGACAGCAGGGCCTGGATGGAGGCAGGGCCCCAGAGCAGCAGAAGCTCAAACAGCACCAACCTCTATCAGAGTTGGCGTCAAGCCTAGTGTCCGCTCCCACCCGGCAGGCAAGTGGCTTCTGTATGTATGGTTGTGTGTGTGTGTGTGTATGTGTGTGTGTGTGTTGTGTTGTATGACACATATGCCCGCAGAGGTGGGAGGAAGGTGTTAAATCCACTGAGCTGCAGTAGCACTCTTAACTGATGAGCCATGTCTCTGGCCTCCTGTTTGTGCTCTTACAACAAAGCAATAAAGCCTGAATAATTTATAGAATTTATTTTTCACAGCAGTCTTAAAAATCCAAAATCAAAGGAACAGTGTCTGTCTAGGGTCTCTTGTTGAACCTGTCATGGTGAAAGGGAATTGCTGTAGCCTACTGGATCCATCGTGGTTAAGGGGAATTACAGTAGCCTGTTGTACTTGACACAAGCTAGAGGCAGCTGGAGGAAACAAAACAAAAAACATGAATTGAGGAATTGCCTACATTAGCCTGTAGGCAAGTCTGTGAAGACATTTTCTTGTTGTTTTTCGAGACGTTTTTCTTTGTAGCCCTGGCTGTCCTGGAACTCAGACCAGGCTGGCCTCGAACTCAGAGATCCATCTGATTCTGCCTCTTGGGATTAAAGGCATTTGCAACCATGACCCAGTTTTTTTTTTTTTTTTAAGTTTTATTTGTTTAATATGTATGGATGCTTTACCTGCAAGTATGTCTGGTGCCAGCAAGGGCCAGAAGAGGACATCTGATCCCCTGGGACCGTAGTTCAGTGATCATGAGCCATTATGTGGGTGCTGGGAACAGAACCTGGATTCTCTGCAAGAGAATAAGCGACCTCTCCAGCCTTGTGGGGCATTTTCTAGATTAATGATTGATGTAGGAGGGCCCAGTCCACTGTGCAGTGCCACCCCTGAGGGCAGGGCCCTGAGTGAGCCATGGAAGGCCAGCCAGTGAGCAATGTTCCCCCATGCCTTCTGCCTCAGTGCCTGGCTTGAGTTCCTGCCCTCATTTCCCTTCATAATGGAGGGTTAGCTGTATGACAGAGGAAACCTTTTCCTCCCCCAGTGGCTTTTGGTCAGCACAGCAATAGAAAACAAATGAGTTCCCCTAGATCCAGGATTCCCTTCTTCTCATTAAGCCCATCAAGGGACTTTGCCCCCATTTCCTTATCTAGCCCTAATCAGTTTCCAAAGGCCTCACCCCGAAATACCATCAGCAAATACTTTTGGGATTAAGTCCCCAGCAATGAGCTTTTGTGGGGTATATCCAAATCCTAGCAAAAAGGAACCTTGGGTTTGGCTGACACAAGGCCCCACCCTGCCCTTGAAGGCTGACTGCTCTCATTTTTCAAGGTCTTGGAGTGGTGCTCCTGGCGGATAAGCCTGAATTTGGCTTCTGTGTGAGTCTCATTTCATCAGTATAGTGTTTTTCACAGGGGAAAAAGATTTTTTTCAAACTTGTAGGCTAAGCATTTGTACATTAAACACAAGTTCAGTTACTGGGCATTTCCTGGGCTCTGTGGTAAAGCAGGTCAGGGAAGGGGATAGAGTCCTTGATCCCCTTCCTGTTCCTGTCTCCCTTGCCACAGTGTTGATCCTGCTACTCAATGATTCTCCTTTCCATTCAGAGTTTTTCCTGCTGTCCTTGCTCTGGAGCAGAGGCTGACAATTCTATTCTATAATGGACAGATAACAAACATTTAGACTTTTATGGGCCATATGGAATGTGTTGCAGTTACTCTGCTGTAGAGAGAAGGCAGCCACTGGAGCTATGGAATTGAATGTGCATGGCTGTGTTCCAATTACAGCTTGCTTCACAGGCAATGCAATAGGATTGCACACCCTGTCCATGGGTCACGAAATGCTTTCCTGCTTTTGATTTTCTTCTCCCAATAGCTTAGGAATATTAATATAGTTCTTAGCCCATATGACATATAAAACAGACAATGGACAAGACTTGTTCCATGTGCCCTCATGATGGGTGGGCCTGTGCTCTTCCAAGTGCATACATTGGCACCCTACCCCCCAATACTTAAAATAATATCTTATTTACAGATAGGACCTGTGTAGCTGCAGTCAAACTGAAGCGAAGCCGTCAGGGCAGGCCCTGAACAAGCGTGACTGGTGTCCTAACACGAAGCAGGATGCAGACACACGAAGTGGGGCAGTCATGTGGAGAAACACAGAAGGTGGCCACAAACATGGAAGATTACCCAAGTGTAGTTTGACCAGGATGGCTCCCATAGACTCATGTGTTTGAATGCTTGGCCATAGGGGGAGCACTATCAGGAGGTGTGGCCTTGTGGGAGGAGATGTTCCTCTGGGGGTGGGCTTTGATGTCTCCTATGCTCAAGTTAAGCCCAGTTCGACAGTCTCTTTCTGCTGCTTGTGGCTCAAGATGTGGAACTCTCAGCTCCTTCTCTAGCACCATGTCTGCCTGCACGCTGCCATGCTTTCCACCATGATGATAATGGACTAAACCTCTGAAATGTAAGCCAGCCCCAGTTAAATGTTTTGGTTTATAGGAGTTGCCTTGGTCATGGTGTCTCTTCATAGCCATGGAAACCCATGGTGTCTTTTCACACCAAGGCTGAGAAGAGCCTGACATAGAGTCTCTTCAGCCTGTTGGCATTAATCTTCTCCAGACCCTGCTGTGTGAATTTGAGGGAAGTTGATATCTGTTGCTTAAGTGACTCAGTTTGTGGCACAGACGAACTTCAATCCACGATGGGGTGAGGTCCCCAAAAGCCACCATGAGCTGGAAATATCACAAGTGGAAAGTGCATTTAGTATCCCAAGCCACCAAACACAGCAGCCCAGTCACACAGCATGCTCGGGCATTCGCCGTTCCCCTTCCTGATTTCAGGGCTCACCTGGAGCCCTGATTCTGCTTACATTAGAAGTATCTCCTCACTTAGGTGCCGGTGACCCAGCTTGTGAGTTTCAGGCTCAGTGCAGAGACCCAGCATCTTGGTGAGTAGCACACATACACCGTCTTCACGGAACGTACACTTCATGGGAGGAACGAGGCCTATGTCGGATAATGCAGAAAAGTGTGGTGAGAAAGTGCTGCATGCCACACAGTCCCAACTCTACTAGAGAGCAGCCTGTCTAGTGGGCAGTGAGAGGCCATCAGGGCTGGCCTTTTGGAGGGAATGACACGCACAGTGGCATTTATGTTTAATATCTAAGCAGTAGTCCCCTCTTACTCTTGAGGACATTCTCCAAGCAAAATCTCCAGAAGACGCCTGAAGCTGGATGCACCACTTGCCCTTGTGTGCACTAGCGATGAAGTTCAAGTCCTGACGAGAGCATAGTGAGGAACTAACCACACCAACAGCAAACAGTGCAGTTCTGATGGCCTCTCAAAGCGGGGGTGGCACAGCAGCCCCTCCCCTTTTCTCCTCCTTGTCCTTCCTCACATCCCTCTTTTTGTACTGATGGTTGAACCTAGGGCTTCCTGCCACTTTTGTCTCATTCCCTCAGAAGGCCAGCCCGGTTCTATGATTGCTTCCATACACATCCAAACCCTTACCCAGCCTTGAGTGTGGAGAGCAGCTTTCTATTACTGTGATGAAATGTCTGAGGAAATCAGGTCACTACAGGAAGTCTTAGAGGTTGCATTCACTTGGTCCTCCAGGTTTTGGCCTACAGCAGCAAGTACCTCGTGGCAGATGTGTGGGGGAGCCTGGCTTACTTCTCAACAGCTGGCAAAGAGATGAAGGTGTCACTGGAGTCCTCCGTTCCCTCCTCTTTGCTTCAAGTGATGAGTTTTTATATTTTGTTTGTTTTGCAAGTTTTAGACAGGTTCTCTTATAACCTAGCCTGGTCTTGAACTATTGAGCTCGCTAGGTAGTTAAGGCCGACCTTGAACTCCTGATTCGCCTGCCTGTGCTTTCTAAGTGGGCACAGATGTGCCCACAGTGCCCAGCTTTGTTGTTGATGGGGGTGGTTGTGGTCTGTCTGTTTATTCAGGGTCTATATTACCCAGGCTGACCTTGGATTTCTGGGCTCAAGGGATCCTCCCACCTTAGTCCCTGGGGTACCTAGGGACCACAGGCACACACCACTACCTGTGTTGACTTTTGACTGTACCACAGAGCTGTGTCATCTCTTCTACTCACTTTGTTTACTTCATATCCCTGCGGCTCACACATCCTCTCTGCTCTCACAAGCCCATTCTCTGCATGCCTCAAATACCAGCTTTCCCTCTGACTTTGTTTCAGCCCCTTTCCCTTTCTAAGTAGCTTTGTTTCATATACTGATCCTTGCTCTCACCTCTGCCTTCTGAAAGGGATTAGTTCTGGGGCATTCCCCCAGTTCCAGCTCTCCTTGGCCTTCCATTACCCATAGCCAAATACACTGGGCAGCAGCTGCTTCCCTTTGCTCTGGAATCTGGCAGTCAGAGCCTCCCTGGCTGCTCCCTTCTGCACGCTGCACTTCCCGCCATCTCTTCATGGCTTTCGTCTGGCCTTGTTTATCCAGCATCTAATGATAACACACTTCATTTTTCTTTTTCTAATCTGGTATCAGGTAGATAAGCGAAATAGCTGGCGGTTAAAGTAACAGAACCCAAACAGCTCACAGTTCATTTTACATTCAGAGTTAAAAAACACTTCCTTTACAAGCAATTAGACAATTACATATTTATGGTGGATTTAGGGTAGTTGGATGCTCCGAAGTGACTGGGAATGTTCATTTTGTTACAGAAACTGATTGTGATAACACAAAGGCCTTGGACTTATTCTTCATAAAGCTTATCAATATTTGCTATAAAATAGTACATTAAAAGTTGTAGCAGGTGTGGCAGCTTACACCTACATACCGGCAAGTATGGGCAGGGTCATTATCAGCTACTTGATCCCATCTCAAAAATGAATAACACAGGTTTTTAATGAGCCAGGTGAAACTACTGGCGTGTAGGTTCAGTATTTGGAGACTGAGACAGGTAGACTGTTTGGGCCCAGAAGTTTGAGACCAGAGTGGACCAGAGACAACAGTTCATTGTTTTATGTTTTTGTTGTTTGTTTCTGAGACAAGATCTCACTGTGTAGCCCTAACTGGCCTGGCATTCACTATGCAGGCCAAGTTGGCCTGGAATTTACTGATCCGCCTGCCTCTGCCTCCCAGGTGCTAGGATTAAAGGCATGTACCAATACACCTGGCCTGTTTCATGTTTTTTTAATTAATTAAAAAAAATGTTTTCTCTCATATATGTCTGTGTACCTCTTTTGTATCTGGTGCCTGAAGAGACCAGAAGTTGGCATCCCCTGCAACTGGAGTTATAGCCAGTTGTGAGCTGCCTGATAGGTGGGTCCTTGGAAAGGGCAGTTAATGCTTTTAACAACTGTGCCATCTCTCTGGCTCCTGTTTTTGTGTCCACCCCCCAGGGGGGGGCCTTGTTTTCTTTTTTTTAATGGTTTTAGACCTTACCAAAAAAAAAAAAAAAAAGCATCACCTTTTCTGCGGAACTTCTCCAGATACAGACCTGGAAGTGACACAGAAGTTGCAGGCAACATAAATGTAATGGGGACACTTGAATACAATCAGTCAGCTGCAGGAGGGCAAGGCCAAAGATGGCATGTGTTAGGAAGCTGTCTACCTCATTCACATGAATTGTCAAAAGAATGGCTTAAAGCAAAATGTGACTCCATCTTCAAGAAGTTGCTGCTTTGAGCTTTCCCGAGAAGAATTCTTACCTTATTGAGCAATGCTGACTTATGCAACCGCGCACTTCATCACTCATCTGAGAAGCACAGTGGCTATTTGGGGAATGAAAACACCTAGGGAGGCATCTGGAAGAGCAGGTCTGCGGGGTCCTGCTTCCTGAACTGCCCCAGCCACACACAGGAAGCTCGTGAACATTTCTAGGACATGTACATTTCTATGTCTCTCTTCTACAACGGCTACAAGTAAAGCAATTAGAAATAATTTAAAATCAGGGAAGAGTTCATTTGCCCGACTTTAACACTGTAAGAAAAGAGTGAGAGCTAAATCCCTAATTCTAGGGATTTAGCTCTGACATCCAACCTGTTACATTGCTGAAAAAAAAAATACTTAAATGTAGCCCAGGGCTGAAAAATGTGCTTCCCTGGGAGAATGCTTGAAAGGCTCTGGGTTAAGATGCTAACTTTTGTTGTGGTGGTTTTGGCTTTTCTAAAAAAAATTTTTCTCACATTTATTTATTTGTTTATTGTCTGTCTGTCTGTCTGTCTGTCTCTCTCTCTCTCTCTCTCTCTGTGTGTGTGTGTGTGTGTGTACACACCACTACAGTCAGTTCTTACTTTCCACCATGTGGGTCCAAGGGATTGAACTCAGGTCGCCAGGTTTGCTGGAAGCCCCTTACCCGCTGAGTCTCACGCCAGCTCTTCTTTGCTTTTCTGAGATACCATCTCACTTGCTATGAGGTGGAGGATGACTTTGAGTCCTAAGCCTCTTGTTACCACCTCCGGTGTGCTGGGGTTCCTGGCCTGAGCCACCACATCCACAGCCAGACTTCTGATAGAAGAGATAAAAGAAGCAGCTGACTACAGAACTGGGGGAAACTGAGGCATATGAAAAGCGTGGCAAAAAAATGTTTTCCATTTTCCATTTATACCCCACCTTCTTCTGTTTGCCAAAATGTGGGGAGTGTTTTCTAGACACCAAGCAATTCTCTGTAGATAAGAGTGTCCTATAGACATTTCCTATTGTCATTGGGATAAAAGTCAGATTCTACTGCTTGAAGGCTGTGCTATTTTAGATTCCCATTGGTTTACAACCATCTGTAACTCCAGCTCCAGGGGATCTGTTGCCCCTCTTCTGGTCTCATTGGGTACTGCTTGCAAATGGTCCATATAGAATGAAAAATAAATAAGCTGGTGTCTGCCTCACGCCTTCACTCCTGGCACTGTGGAGGCAGAGGCAGTTGGATCTCTGAGTTTGAGGCCAGCCTGCTGTACAGAGCAAGTTCCAAGACAGCCAAGGCTACACAGAGAAACCCTGTCTCAAGAAACCAAAATGAAATTAAAAAAAAAAAAAAGTTTTAAGGGCTGGAGAGATGGCTCAGTGGTTAAGAGCACTGATTGCTCTTCCAAGGGACCCAGGTTCAATTCTGAGCACATGGAAGCTCACAACTGTAATTCCCGTTCCAGGGGATCTGAAACCCTCATACAGACATACATATAGTCAAAACATAAAATAAAAAAAATAATAAATTGGTTTTTTAAAGATAATCATAATTTTATTTTGAGTTTCAAAGAAATGATTTTTAAAAAAGTTTAAAAATGGAGTTAAAAAACATCCTGGAAACATATCACCTAACTAGCAAAGGCCCTACGTGGTTAACTCTCTTCCTGGAGTTATACACGTTTTAGAACCAAAACAACCAAAGCACAATGGAGGAGCTCTCCATAGCTGACTCGGAAACAGGTAATACTTCAGTCATGTATTCCTACAGGTCTCTTGATATAGTCCAAGCTAGGCTGGAACTCTCCGTCTCCCTGCCTCAGTACCCTCCCTGCATGCTGGGATTGCGGGTTTGAACCTCCACACTTGAATAGACACAGTTCATGCTTTACACTTTGATATCTGACATAGTAAAGATAGCTTTAAAGTACATCTGACATGCTTGAAGAGGTTATAGTTTCCTGTTGTGCAGGAAGCCGTAGCCTGGTTAATGGGACAAAACACATGAGGATAAACCAGCCCCCAAATGAAAAGCATCGGTGTGGCATGCCTTCTTCCTTCTCATCCAGGTCTTTCATGATCTGACCCTGCTCTACATTTCCATGAGAGTGCAGAGGAAACCATTCTCCAGTGAGGCAGATTTGCTGAGTCTCCATCACACTGGTGATAAATAAGGAGACAAGAATGTGCCTGGAGATAGAGCCTGTTCTCCAAACAACTAAGGTATGAGGGAGGCTGAGGAAAGAGCCAGGTGTTTTGCACTCAGAGACAACATAAGCAGGGTGTTAGTCTTGGGAGACATTCTCCTTGAGTGGACCCCTAAACTATGTTATCCTTACTTCACTGGTGAGTGCCAGCCAGATCTATGACCCCTGCCTCTGCTTTGACCTGGCTTTTGTGCTCCTCTCTTCCTCCACAAACATCTCTTCTTTCTGACACACTCCTCTCTTCAGACACTGCTGGGGGTACTGCTTAGTGGCGCAGTGCCTGTCTAGCACCTGTGAGGCCCTGGCTTCCATCTCCAGCAAGAACACTAAAAGCATGAAGAGGTTAATTTGGCTTGTCTCCATATTTGTAAGTACACTGTAATCATGGTTTCTGGTGATTCCCTGGAAGAGGGCCTAGTAATTCAGTGCTCCCGAGGTCCTATGTTAGATCTACCTAGATTCAAATCCCAGCTCTTTGATCCAGCTGGGCAAATTACTTGGGCTCTCTGCAACTTCAAGGCCTTTTATCAGAAAGGGTTAATAACAAGGTTCCTTTAAAGATTGGATGAGATAATGCCTAAGTTTAGAGCATCACTCTGGGAGAACACTGCAACATGGTACATTCAGATAATATAACAATCTACACATGGTGATTTTATTTGTTTGTTTGTTTATTTATTTATTTGTGTCTCTCAAGTGCTGGGGTTAAAGACATGACATGCACCACCACCACAGCCTGGCTATACACGGTGATTTTGTCACTAAAGAGGATCTTGTCCTCAACGGGCCTTGTGTTATCCCTTTCTCTCCTCAGCTACATACATCATGTGAATGTACTTATTTCGCTAACTTAAAAATATTTTTTGTTGTTGGCTATCCTACTATAGATGTATCAAAAGTTATAAGACAAAAATATCACCTAGAATTCCTACATTCAGAGACTATATTTTTCTATTATTATTATTTACAGTTTTTTTTTTTTTGTTTTGTTTTGTTTTTCGAGACAGGGTTTCTCTGTGTAGCCTTAGTTGTCTTGGACTTGCTTTGTAGACTAGGCTGGCCTCGAAGTCACAGAGATCTGCCTGACTCTGCCTCCCTGAGTGCTGGGATTGCAGGTGTGGGCCACCGTCCCCAGCTTGTTTTGTTGTTGTTGTTTTTTTTTTTTTTTTGGAGAAAGAGTTTCTCTGTGTAGCCATGGTTGTCCTGGAATTCTCTCTGTAGAGCAGGCTGACCTTGAACTCAAAGATCTGCCTGCCTCTGCCTCCGGAGTGCTGGTGTTGGAGGCCTGCACCACCACCAACTGGCTTAACGTTTCTTACTCTTTAAAACACCCCGGGAAGGCTGCCGCTGTGCTCGGTGCTGGGGCAGGAAGTACACAGGTGTGTACCAGTCGGTCGGCTCCTCTTTTACAGACCATCAGCTGGAGGTGCCCTGGGCAAAACGTCAGTGTAGCACACAGGGTCAGACTGACAAAGGAAATGGGTGCTAATTTGCAGGGGGTTTAATTATTAAAGTTCAAAGGATAGAGAAATGAGGACCCTGAGGAGAGTCTCTGGAAAAAGCCTTAAGGGAAGTTGAGAAAAGGGGGAGGGGTCGATGAGGGACAGTCCAGAACTACAGGCTGCTGAGGCAGTTAAAGCAGTCCCGATACAGCTTGAATTTGGCTTGAGTTCCTTCCCTAGTACAAAAATAAAATAAAAGCTGGAACAAACGAACTTCATCATTGTTTCTTCCGGAGCCGAAACTTCAAATGTCACGTTGTTCGAGAGGAAACCGGATTGACTTTTAAAACCATTAGTCCTCACCATCACTTACCACAGAACCGTAGGTGGTGGCAAGCGTGATGTCAGAGAGCCAACAGGATGAAGGACTTGGCTTCCACGCTGTTATTTCTTCTCAGCGTCTGTCCCTGGACCGCATCCCTAAATGGAGGATCAAGGAGTGGCCGAAGCGTAAACGCCAGGTTCACTGGTTGGTTCGCGCGTCGCTGCTGGGTTTCCCAAAACCAGAAGGCACTTTGCGCGGAGCGTGCTCGGGGAGCGGCTGGTCAACCTGCGCCGCCGGGGCTGTCCGGCGCCTCAACGGCCGGCTGTCCGGTCCGTGGCTGGCGCCGGGGCCTGTGAACTTACTTTTCTCACCGAGCGCTACGAGGCGCTCGGGAAGCCGGCGCTCCGGGGCCGCCGACTTGCGACGCGAGCGGCGCGCAGGGCAGGTGGCGGCCCGGGCGGCCGGTCGGCCGGGCGGCGCAGGAAGCGGCGGCCGGGGTGGAGCGGCCGGCGGGGAGCAAGGCCGCGGGCGCCCCGCCCGGGCTGGTATGCGGCCGGGAGTGACGCGGGAGGAGGGGTCACGTGACGCCCGTGGAATGCCAACAATGTAGCGAATGTCCCGCTCCGGTCTGCGCGTCGGAGCCGCGGCGTGAGCGGCCCGCGAAGATGGAGCCGCCGCCGCCAGCGCCGCCGCCGCTTCCCCGGGCTCCCCCGACCCTCCGGAGCCAGCAGCCGCCGCCGCCACCGGCGCCCGGTCTCCCCGCGCGCGAGGTCCCGGAGCCGCGGGCCAGGACGCCGCCGACGGTGTGAGGGCGCTCGCGGAGGTGAGGGGCCGCGGCCGGGAAGTTGGTCGGGACGGGGCTCCGCCCGTCCGCCCCCGCGGGACGGCCGGCTCGCGGGGAGCCCC